CCCAGCTCTGATCAGTGCCCACCGCTGCAGGCTGGTAGCCCCCGGCCTTGTGCCCATTACCTGGATGGCATTGGTGACGTTCCAGCCCGCTTCCCAGGCCGTGATCTTGGGCTTGCCTTGGCCGGAGAGCTCCGAGCACACGCCCTCATCCTTGGAGGCGGACGGGGGCAGGGGCCCGGTGCCGTCCCGCTGGTAGTGGATGTCCCCTTCCACGGGGGGCTCGGCTCCCTCTTCGCTGGCGTCAGACTTCAAGATGTCCATTTGCAGCCCCTGCCTGTGCTCCAGGTCCAGGTCATCGCAGTGAGCAAACCCAACCGCCTCTTCGTCGGTGGCCGCCTGGAAGCCCATCCTCGCGAACATGCCGCTCACCTTCGCCTGGGACTTGTTGGAAACCGAGGTGGCGACGTTGGAAATCTTGCTCCGGATTAGCGTGGCCATGGCGCTGCGCTGTCTCGCTCGGGCTCGGGAAAGGACGGGGCGAAGCTGGGCGCCGGGCGAGACGCCTGTGCTGCGGGCTGGGCAACGCCGCTAGCTCCACTCCCTATTGCAACTGCACCTGCTGCCTCTTCGTGCCCCTTGGAGCATGACACCGCTCAGTGGCAACTCCTGGGCACCTCCATGGGAACTGCTCGCCCTCCGGCTGGTGCATATAGCCTGGGGAGCCCAGGGAGGTCCAGGGGGCTCTGGCGCGGGGACGGAGCGGGGAGGGCTGTCTGGATGCCCGGCGTCGGCTCTCGAGACTCCCCGTCCCCTTGCTGAGCAGCTGGTTGTCTCCGGCCTCACTGATGCCAGTGCAGTGCAGAGCAGCCGGAGGGGAGAGAGGCAGGGGGACGTGTGCTGATCACCAGATTGCCAACGCAAGCCTTTTGCTGTGCACACCACGTCTCCATCCCAATGCGTCCATCTAGCAGAGGAAGGGGAGAGGGGAGAGGATTGCTGCATTTCTGGGGGAGGTCCTACAGTCCCCACCAAAGCCCTGCTCCCCCTCCCTCCGCACACAGCAACACCCCCACCGCCTGGCCTGGCCTGGGAACACTGCAGACTGGGAGGGGGGGCAGGTTCCCCTCCCTAATGGAATATCTACAGGGACGGACTGAAATCTAGCTCTGGGTTCACCTTCCCAAAGCAGCAGCCCAGCCCCCATCTAGGAAAGGGATTCTTGATGACAAAATAGGGACCCCAAAGAAAACCCCCGGTGGGGGCAGAAAGGTTTCGTTTCTATGCGTTTGGTTTCCCGAACGATTTTAATATGCACTTCATTTGACTCGAAATCTGTAGGCCATGTTTGGCCACGTTTGGCCAGATCGGCCGTGCCCTCCCCTCCCCACCTACCACCTGCAGTACGGGAGACGCAGCCCCCCGCCGGAGGAGGCCTGCAAGGCTTCCTCCCCCTTGTGTGTGCACGGGAGACCTGCGGATTTCTGCACTGCTCGCTATTGTCTCTCTGTTTTACAGCTAGGGATAGATCTGCCCGGATGGGGTTATTCAATATCGACATACAGATGCAGAATCTCCCCTATTGTCCTTGTATTTGTAGCCAGACATAGTTGCAGATTTCTCGTTAGGAGTCCACATCTGCGTATTCTGGGGTATTGCTCATAATTTGTGTATCTACAGATTTACAGCTCTTTAATAAAGGCAGAGAGGTGCGATATGCTTGGATTTTGATTTCAGTCGTTTATGTTTATTTTTAAACACAAAAGCCTTAACATTATTCGTTGCTTTTATTTCATTCGTTTGCCTGGTTCAGCTACTGCAATCAGGATCTGCAGTTCGCAGTCCCTGTCTTATTCCACGTCCATGTGTGTTCCCCTGGGGAAATCTATCCCATTTCAGGGGGCGATGTGTGATTTTAAAGCGACGTTTTCAAGGGGTGCCATTTCCCCTGCTCCTTCCACAGTAGGAAATCACCTTGAATAGTGTTTGAAATTATATTTCTAAAACGATTTTGATAGATAAAAATATGTATATCTATATATAGACATCTATATAGAGCTATATAGAGAGAGAGCGAGATAAATATGTCTCTATATAAATAGATAGACATATCTATCTATCTATCTATCTCATTTGCTGCTTTAACAAACGATTTGATTTCCCGTTAAAAATATTTCCTTTAGTCTCTAACTTTTTTATGAAGGACAAACAGAGATATTGACATTATGATATTAGAAATTATGTTCTTATTTAGAAAACCGAAAGGCAGGGAGACTGACACAAATCTGAATAAGGGGGACGATGTGGAGCTAAATTGCCAAACACCCCGAAGGGGGGAAAATATGTCTTTTTAGGAGATGCTTTTAATAATGCGAACCAGTTGCCTCATCGAAACAAGAAGCAGCAGCAGGCACTGGGACCTTCACGAGACAGAAGCGCTTGATCTGTTATTGTTGCTGCTGTTCTCCTTTGCAGGGATCGTTGTGGCCATGTTCCGTGCTGGAAAGGTTCCTGGTTGCTGTTCCTTTCTGCAGAGCTAAGGGTCAAAGCCAACCCAGTCCAACCAAAACATTTATGCTTATTTATAGCCCACGATTCTCTGCCAGAGGAGGAAGACAGAGCGGCGCATTAGCAAAACAGGGCTCATCTCTGCCTCTGCTTTGGAGAAGGCATTATTACATATCATTGCACAAATAGGTCGAGAAAGGCAAGCCCTGCACACTTTTGCTCCATATTTAGAAACAGCCAGACTGCACTGGGAGCACTGACATGATCGAGCCTAACTGGGTTTTAACGACCATTTAAAGAAAAATCCCCTGGAACGTGAAAAAAAAATCTGATCGTAAATTTCCTTTTATTTTTTCTTCTTAATATCAGTGAATCTCCGTTACCTCCCTCGATGCTACTGCAATACTACTAGGAAAAGGAGCGTGGTCTTTCTGGGAATTTTACGAGATTTTGCTTTGGACTAACATAGCAATGATGTAATGATAACGATGGCGATGATGATGACGATGATGATGATAATAATAATAATAATGATGATGACGATGATGGATGTAACAGTATTGCTGTCAACACGAGATGGAAAAGGCAAAGCTGTGGGTCTCAAGAGCCATGTACCAGCACCGACCAGTGATCCATCCATACCGATGGTTTGCACTCAGTATTTCCTGAACCCATCCCTCAAAGGCATGGGAGATCAAAGTGCCTCAATCCATCTCACAAAGCTTAAACCTCTCCTTAGTAAAATCAGTAAAGTCGCAGGCAAACGCTGAGACTTTCTTTCCCCCAGCCCCACAACGAAACGCCTGACAGGCAGACGAAACCCCGGGCCTTTGCTGCGTGGGCAGCTCTGCTGCAACTTTTCCCGCCAGCCCGGGGTCAAGGGAGGCGAAGGCAGGACAACGCGATTCCCCCCGTGGCTCCCAGCGACCTCCTTCCCCCTCGCTGTGCAGCGCTCCGTGGCACAAAGCACAGGCAGGATCTCCTCGGGCAGTTTTCCAGCAATCCCAGTGTGGACGGACCCGGTCTGTGCGGCACAGCAGGGGTCTTCCAAGGACTGCCCCAGCCTCCCCAACCCAGGGGCAGCTCCGGCCAGCAGAGCACCCTCCCCTCCCCGGTCTCTGGGCCTGTGGCCTGGGTCCATCAGCCAGGACCAGCCCCCTTCCCTGCCGAGTGCGCTGCGCTGCCTGGTGCCAGCAAGAGCCGCAGCATCCTCTCCTCTCCTTCCCCCCGGGCTCCCCGTCCCGGGCTGAGCCGGGGCCACCCCCAGGCCGTGCGGGGCCGTCACTGGCTCCGGCGCCCCTGCCCCGGCTCAGGCATTGCGATCGTTGACCAGAAAGGCAGGGGAGGGGTGCGGGGCTCCAGAAACCAGTGGGCCAGGCGAAGCGAGGCGCCCTTGAAGTTGGAGCCCAAACTTCCAGCGACTTCAGCGGGGCAGGACCGCGCTCCCCCGGGCTGAGCATCCGCAGCGCAGCGCAGACCGCGGCAAAGGGCGCGCTGCCCGCTCGGGCACAGCCGCGACTTGCTCTGAGAAGGGGCCCGAGCCCGAGCCCAGCTTCAGGCACCGGGATCCCGCCTCGGTGCAGCTCAGCGTCGTTACCAGGGAGCAGAAACCAGGGTAACCGGAGCATCCCAGCTAAGCGCCTGCTCTGGAGTCCTAAATGCCCCGCCTCGCTCCACAGCCAGCGCTTGGGTCCAGGTGCCCCGGACACAGCGAGGGGCAGAGCTTCAAAAACACATCACAGATCCTGAAGCAATAATAATGGTGATGGTGCTGATGATTATGATGATGATGATGAGCCCCCCAAACAGTAAAGCTAGCAGTCTAACCTGCATGCCCTAACTCCGCTTCTTCTGGGGAAAAAATCCTTTAAGTTAACTCCGCTGAAAGCCAACAGCCAGCCCCACGCACTCCGTCGTTTACATGCTCGTGTTCCCCTGAGATCCAGCTCACATGTCTACAGCAAAATAAGTGAATACAGACAACCGAAAAATCAAAGGCACCCCCGGCCCCCAGACCCGGCAGAGGCAGTAGCATTTACATTTGAGCCTGGAGTGAAATATGAAAGCAAGCAAAGAAGCAGACAGACACCAAAGCCCTGCCGAGGGAGGGCGGAGGGACAGACCCCGGCTGGATAGAAATCAAGGCTGAAACTGGTTCTCCCTTCCACCGCCCCATCACACACACACGTGCCAATTCTGCCACTAAAGGAAACTTTCCCCTGCTCATTTCCTGGGCAGGCTTGAGGGAAAAGAGTGCTGACATCCGCTCCCAGGTCAGGAAAACCCATCCTTAACTTTGCTGCGGTCTAAAGAGATCTCATTGTAGGAGAGAGAGAAGCAAGCGCGTCCGCGTGTACCTACGCCTCCCTCAGCAGCTTCGCCGGCAGCCCATTATGCCGGGAGAAAGCGGGGCTGGAGGAGAACTGGGAGCAGCAGGAAAGCGTGAGGATGAGAAAAGCCACGTCACTCCTGGTCCCCCCATCCCATAACCATCCCCACGCAGGGGGTGCTACAGCCAAGCACTCTCCAAAGGTTAGCAGGTCTCTGGGGTGCATGTGATCTGCAAATAATTGCAGAGTGGAGCAATTCTTAACGCTCTGCTTCGCGGCTACAGCAGGGCTCTCATTTATTCTTCAAGTTTGCCTGTCCAAATTAAGAAAAAAAGAGCATGTTCTTTTATTATTTACATATTATTTTGTGCAGGCCAAATTATACTGGGACCTGAGTGAAATGGTTCCCCCCAATGCCCCACTGTGTTTAAACGAAGCGCTCCCCATCTGAAAACTTGGGAAACGGAGTATCTCTGAGCACGTCCCTGCTTCTGAAGGAAAGGCAGTGTCTGATGCTCACCGGGTTGTCTACTCCTGACTGTGAAGTCCGGCAGAGGCTTGACAGTATGTCAGCAAACTGAAAGGGAATTAAACTGCCTTGCAAGCTCCTCCTTTCAAGGGTTAAATAGATTTACCCTTATCTCCACAGTCCAGGCTTGGTGT